AATTTAGCGTTAAGATCACAAGAAATAGGAAGTTGTGGAGAGATACGAACGTCTATGTCCTGAAGTGGCGCGGTATAGAGAAAAAATACAGGCGGCATGTCTCTTCTTTCTTTTTTCTTTTATTTTTATTTTTTGAAGTCGATACTGAGTACTCTTATGGGTTTTTTCTAGCTTAGATTTGGCACAAGGCCGAAATTATGGGGCACCCCATGGGGACCGAACCCACTATTCAGTTAAACTACCACGTATTGCTACGAGCTAATCGAAGCACTGAATTGGAAAATTACTTTGCGTATTAGCTGAAAAATCACTTTAAAATCACGTAAAGTTGCTGGTGATCTGTACTTTTTTTTATATCTAGGGTTTTCGTTTATCAATCATCGAAGACTTACTGTTTTTATGTCTCTCTGTTTTGTCTGGTCAGATATTCGGAAAGGTATTTTCAGTAACACTCTCATCCGCCATTCTCTATACGTTTCACTCTTCGTCTTCTTTTAATATTCAGCTATTTTATTGCTTTCATTGAGGGCATCCTTCGTCTCCAGTACGCTACTTTCAAAGGTACTCAATATCAGTATCTGCCGAATCATTGTCATTGCATCTAAACTTGCTTTCAACGTACGTACACAGAGAGAGAGAGAGAGGGAGGGAAAGAAGCATAGTGAGAGGCAGAGAGAGGCAGATGCAAGTACGCTCTCACGCACAGATCACAGTACACGGGTGCTCGCACGCCAACTGGTTGTCAAAAGGCTGGGTGTGGCGTGGTATCCCGAATTAGTTTGTGCAGAAGAAAAAGGGAGACGGTGGTTTCTCTAACAGGAGTGAAATGTAGGTGAATGGGTGGGCACATAGGTTTGGATTTCAGCGAAGCCCAAAAAACAATTGAACCATATAGACCTTAGGAGAAGTGGTAGTAGTAGGTGGGGGATCGATAGAAGGAAAGACATGAGAGAGAAAAGAACGAAATAAGGCAGACAGAAAGAGACAAAATACAAGGAAGAGAATCTATGCAAACACTAAAGGTGAGAAGGAAAGTTTGCTGAGGTCAAGTAATTTTTAGAAGCATTTACAAGAGATCAAACCAATATATATATATATATATATATATATATATTTCAAATTTTCCTTCGCTGAGCCAAGCCATGTTTATGGCACATGACAAAGACAGAGATTAAAATGATTTTTAAGTTTAGCTTATCGCATCCAGTTGAGTCAAATATAATCAAAGATGTTCAATTCTGTATTTGTCTATATGAGCTATTATGTACACTATTTACATTATTCATACTATTATCCTCATCTTTGTTGCTATATTCTTCACAACGTTTCGGCCGTTGTACGCTCAGCCTTCTTCAGGTGGTCGGAATATCGAAATGAACCCTTTATTTCGCTCACTGGGGTAGACTGTTCTAGTTCCACGTGCCATGCCTAATGGATGTCAGTTATCAGTTATCTCCTGTTAATTCACCTCTCCAAGTTCTCCACTGCCTTAGCCAGGTATTGAACTCACAACTCTTTTGGGTCCTGTCACTGGATCTAACCAACGCCTTTATTCACTTTGGCACAGTGGATAAAGACATTGGTTAGATATAGTGACTCTGGTGCAATGAGAGGGCGCGGCCTCGGGCAGCTGTTCCCCAGGCCTGGGCACCTCTTAGTATAATTTCCCTCAGTTGCCACTTTCCTTTGACGGAATCGCCCCTGAGTGCACTCTTCACAAGGACAGAAAGGTAACTGAGAGATGATGAATAATGTGTTACAAAACCCTCACACTGACTCTTCCAGTCACTATAAGAAAAACATCATTTCATAGGAAAGGAAAAGGGTCGCAAAATGTGTCGCGCGCATTGCTACACTGGGGTATTCGCTATTATTTTATTAATCCATGTGAATATACCCTATCTTCACTAATCTATTGTTTTAGTAATTTCATTGCAATATTATTAACCCGAACTACAAATTTTATAACAACCTCAAAATACCCTATGAGGGCTAAATTTTCCAAGCCTTCGTTTCTCATTATGTGTCCAAGAAATTTTAGCTATCTCTTCCTGATTCTGAGTATAAATGTTCTTTTTGTTTCCATATCCTTTAAGACTTTATCGTTGCTTACTCTCTCTGTCCATGGAATTTTTGCTAAAAAAAGGGTTAAAGAGATTCTATCTGTCTGTTAGTTGAAGAATTTTGACTACATACAATCACAACCTTCCAAACAGTTTCATTCACGAAGATCGGGTTATTATCTGGTATGGTTTTCAAGAACTTACCAACGTGATCGGATGTTGGGCATCAAAAGGAGAGAGGGCCCGATGGTGCTTGGACGGAAGAATACCTCAACCTGTTTTGCTCACAAGTTCTCTCGACGACGGCAACGTTTGAAAATCGGACTGAATTTTATTTTCGTTTTGTTGGTTGGCACAAAGAATGAACTGTGAAAGGTTTGATATCTGTTTAAATTCTCATAAGTTTATTTCGTTAATATTTACTGTGTTAAAAGTCTTAACGTATTTGTTTGAAAAACTTTATTAGCGATATTACGGTTTTCCTAAAAAATACTATTGCATGAATATTTAACAAAACATTTTGCGTTGTTACTAAACAAAGTGAAAACTTAAACGGTAAATAAACTTTAATAATATTGTGTGGAAAGTTTATTTGACAGTAAATAATTCAATACTTATGAAAATCCTCTCGGGAACTGAGAAAGGAGAAATGGAATCCTGAGTGTTTGTAATTGTTGTAGAGCAGTTATCTCCCTTGGCTTCTGAAGCTATTTTTGCTTGTTTTTTTTTTCCGTTGACGAACGATTTAATTTTCTCTTACCGACTTTTCACGTTTGTTTCATCTTGTGCTGTCAGCATCAAGTTTTCTACTCAGCAGGGGTTGACTTGGTCTCTGTAAAAATGACAAGACCGAAAAACTGACGAAAATACAATATTTGCTTGAAAAGAAATAAATAAAGAATAGTAAATGATACAGTCGACGCTGGCGTAGTTTATTCAGTATGAAATTGTGTGCAAAATTGATTGACACCGTCTCTCTCTCTCTCTCTCTCTCTCTCTCTCTCTCTCTATATATATATATATATATATATATATATATATATATATTAGTATTTACTTATTGTTGTCGTCGTCTAAACTCGGTTTCAGATTGTCTCTAACATATAAATAAGTCAGTAATATTATATACCCTAAAAATAAATGGGTACCATTTTATATATTCTATTTGACCCTATAAAATATTTATAAACAGACAAAAAATCTTTGTAGATGTTTTTCTTCATATTAAGTTTTTTGTTCTTTTTCATCTGTATTTTTTTTTTACCAATGAAACAAAATTTAACTGTCACTCCAAGTTCAGCGGAAAAGTAGCAGCAATAATTTTCTACTTACTCTTGTTAACGGACAGACAAAATTGCCTGTTTGAATATGGTGGTTTTCTAAACGTAACTTAGATGTGACACAAGGCCGAGAGAATGGGGCATCCAGTGAGTATCGAACTCACTGATCAGACATAAATGATCTAGAGAGACAAGCTTGCTAGCCGTTACACCACATTGAAGGGTCCAAGTATATATTTCAATATAATTCGACAGAGCTGATGCGGTTTTAATTATATACGACTGCAGTTAGAAACAATGGCGAAGAAAATCGCGGTGGAGTTATGGATAGCGGTTTGGAATCTGAGGAATCGGGGAGCCGTGTTCGAATTCCACTGGAAATCATTACATTCATTTACGTGCTAATACCCTTTGGAAAGTTATGAATCCTCTTCCCCCCACCCCCAGCTATAGATAAATAGCAGAAGAAACCGAGTTTTTAGCTTTGGATGGTAACTGGTCTACCGCAGGAAGAAATGGCAACCTACTGCGGGAAAAAATCTGCTTTGTCAGTCATGTATCGAAAGATACATGATCGCCTAAGCGTGTAACACGCATGTCATATAACTATTCTCCTATATGGCGGTGAATTCTGGACAATTTCCTCACAGATGAAAAGGTGACATTGAATCAACAGAAATGTTGCTCTACGGAAGGATGCTGAGAATAACATGGATGGAGCGCGTAAAGCAACGAGGAAGACTTAAGGAAGCTTATACACAGAATCGGAAAGAGTCAGTTGAAATTTCGAGGACAGTGAATGAAGAATGTGATTCTCGGAGAATTTGACATTCACAAGACACATCGAATGCAAAACGGACAGGTTGAGGCAGTGTGCCACCTATCTGGCTGGCTTGTGTGAATAGAGGGCAGTACGAGTGACCGTAAAAAGACAAACTACACTACGAGCCACAAAAAATAGAAAGTTGTGGAGAGCCATGATCGCCCAGGCCTTGAAAGGACACGGCAGATACAAGAAAAAAAAGAAGCTTTAGTCGAGTTAAACAAACTGAATCAAACTTCGTTCGATAATGCAGAGAAAACATGTCCAACCTTCCAATTACAAACGCACTACTTGTACAGATTCTATCCGTGATGAATGTGACAGTTTGGAGCAACAAAGACAACGCCGGAAATAAAGGTCCTGTACAAACATATTGAGTGTTTTACACTAAAGACTTGACAAAGGATATTGTTCAACTCGACGAGGGCTGCGGCAGACCTTTGAAGATTTGCTCGCTTTCTCGGTAGCACTGACCACCAGTCTACTGATGTGCTGCTCCTCTAACAAGGAACGAAGACAAACAAACAAAAAAAATGTTTGATTTATTTGTAATGAAAGTTTAACAACAGAGGAAAACGCGAACGTATAACCAAAAAGTTTTAAAAAAATTTTTTTTTTTAACGTATACATAATAATAATGAATTGATTTCAGTGAATCTTGAATAAGAAATTCGATGTTCAGATGATGTAACAGTAAGAATTTCAGAACTAGAAATCGACATGCCGAGTTCGAATTCCAGTCGAGGTTATTGCAGTCATTTTCGCACTAGTACCCTTGGGAAACGTATGAATTATTCTTTTCTCTTCCCATTTATGGGGCTTACGATCGCATCACATTAAAACACCGGTTCTCCTACGACCATCGAAGTTAAGCAACGTCGAGCCTGGTGAATACCTAGATGGGTAACCGCTTGTGAATGTCAGCTGCTGTAAGCTTGGATGTGCCTGTGGTGTAATGGATAACGGAATGGCTCGGAATTGAAGATCGGAGAGCCAAGTTCCACTTCTAGTCTTGTTCATTATATTTACTTACGAGCAAATACCCTTTGGAAATGATTGATTCCAGCTCTTCTCCCACTGCTAAGGGTTAATTAGTAGAATTTGTGTCAGTAAATCAATATTATCTGCAAAAAAATTCTTACAGTTGAAAAATATTTTCAGGCTTTAAATAATCTGCAAAAGGTTGATAAGCTATAAGCACAAATCACTAAAGGCATTCACACTTTTGATATATGCACGTTTCTCTATACTATAGAGCACACACACATATATACTTATATATATTACAATGAATCATTTATTCAAAAAGTAAATTAGTAAAGTTAATGATATAATATGGCGAAATCACTTCGCTAAATTTTAAAGATGCATTAACCCACTAATCACTCAGTGAATGTTATGATCCTTGTTTTTTTTTTAAATTATAAAATATATTAGGTCTTCCTTAAATATGCAAGTACTTTTGACGGGCTCTCCGGTCATCATCAGTCGTGGAAACTGTTTTCTTTTTGGTAAAATTCAGGTAGCATTCGAGACGAGAATACTTGCATATTTAAGGACCCATCGAAAGTACTTTCATATTTAAGTATGACCTAATACAGTTTATAATCTTAAAAACTAAGAATGATAACATTGATCGAGTGGTTAGTGGATTGATGCATCTTTAAAATTTTGCTAGCGAAGTGATTTCACGATTTTATACCATTAATTTTAATAATTTACTTTTTGTACGAATGATTCATTCTAATATAAATTAAACTACACCACAAATACCCACACATATGCATGTGTGTCTGTAAGTATTATATACTTATAGATGCGCAGTATGTTGAGTGCATTAAAAATTAACATATGTACGAAGCTATGTAAAAGAAATTATCCACACTTTCCCCCTAACATATCTTTAGACAAGAGTGCTAAAATTTTCTGACTTTCCTTCGTACATATCCTGGTCGAATCTCTGAAGGAGTTTTAAAATGCATAGACGTACATTTCTTTACAGCACCATTAAAATGCACACTTATACAGACATTGTTTAGAAAACATTAAAATGCATGTGGGTATTTTAACTGTAATGTCTATATCTTGGTACATGCAGCTTGATGAGCCCAAAAAGGAAAAATGCGTTGGGGACGAATTGCTGTATTCATTATTCGATTCCATATAGACAGATGGTGTATCAAAAATACTTTTTTCAATCCTTAGGTGCGTGTTAGGGTAAAATGTCCATATAAACATATGTCCAAAAGGTCATATAAAATATGTTCTTCGCCGTCAGGCGTACGAGCGGATCTCAGTCTTCCCCGATCCATGGTTTGTGTTGCCATGAATTCTGTCTCTGCAACGCGATGATAAACAGCAGCAAAAGTAGTATGACTCGGCTGCTTTCAGTCTGGAAACGCAATTTGATACAGCCGTGCAGCCTCGCGTCCATTACCTTTCCCGCGGACGTATCATAAAAATCATATCTACCTGCTCACAATGAGAATGCCCTGGCATCGCTAAAACGGAACACTTCTCAGTTAACACAATACTACACACTTTAAACATTGAAGACAGACGAACTACGAATGTACACGAATGACAAATGTAACCTTGTCTACATGTCAACACAGCGCCATCTACCGTACGTTTCTTTAAACTTAATAACTCAAAATGTGGACGTTTGTCCTTGTTTTGGTGTAAGGAACCCGCCCTCAATGTTTGTAAAAGTATTTTTGATATATATATATATATATATATATATATATATATATATATACATTATTTGGACTATTGTCCTCATCTTTGTCGCCATATATATCACAACGTTTCGGCCGTTGTACGCTCCGGCCTTCTTCAGGTGGTTGGAATGTCGAACTGAACCCTTTATTTCGCTCACTGGGGTAGACTGTTCTAGTTCCCCGTGCCATGTTTGACGGATGTCAGCTATTAGTTATCTCCTGTTAATTTTCCCTCTAAAAGTTCTCCACTGCCTTAACTCACACTCTTTGTGTCCTGTCACTGGATCTAACCAACGCCTTTATCCACTATGCCATGTGTCCTTAAGGACATCTGGGTATGAATTTCTGGGTATTATAAACCTAATGTCTTCAGCAACCATTTTTACCAGTGCTCATATTGCAATTTTTGCTGTTATCATTGCATGTTTTACCAGAGCTCATATTGCAACTTTTGTTGTTATTATTGCTTTTCTCTGGCATTCCTTATTACTGGTTACCATATTGTATTTATTTCTACGCTTGATATATATATATATATATATATATATATATATATATATATATATATATATATATATATCGCCAATCATTTCAAAAGTATTAAATCCATGTATATATTATTGTTTTATAGTGTATTAAATGTGTTGGCAATCCTTTCTCCTGGTGGTTTGGGTTGGGGGGTAAAAGAAGTGTTGCATTTATCCTGTGTTTGATATGCTGCCAAAAACGACATCGTTTCTTCTCTGCTCACCCACACCGCCAATTTTCCTTTTCCACTGGTTAGACTTTCCAGTAGAACGTTGAATATGTCTCGAGATTTAAAAAAAAAAAAAAAAAAAAAAGGAAAGAAAAAAAATAATGATAATAAATAAATGGTATTTCCGACTGCTGCTTGGTGCTGAGGCCACTGTTGTGTTCTGTTCGCTGTTGCAGCCCTGTTATTAACTGTAAGTAGGTATACACTGACTGACGGTTAGCCAGGTCATCAGGAAGTCAGCGAGACTATACTAAGTTCTATCCGACTCACCCCACAACTCCCTGGTTACTCTCCCTTCGAAAATGTCTTTTTATGTATTTATTTTAAATACCACCCGCTCCATGCACCCAACTATCACCCGTCTGACTCAATGTCTGTCTTAAAAAGAAAAACAAAGTTTAAAATTCGTATCTGTTTGCGACAGTGCACACACACACACACACACACACACACACACACACACACACACACACACACACACACACACACCACGGGTTGTTCTGAAAGTAATGCCTCCTATTTATTTCCCCGGAAATTACAGCAGATAACGGAGGCGGGCGGGGGGTATGCGCTTAACAGCACGATTGGATAGAGCAAACGTTTCAGCTACATCACATCTATTTGTCCCCCATCGTCCCTAGGCATTTTTACCACAGCGAGCATAAATTCCGCGCGTTTCTTGCCACACCCATCGCCGTCGCTTCTGCTGAATAGCATTACCGACTGTGCTCGCATCCCTGTTTGGTCGCCGTAAACATTCATAAATCATCGACGACTGACAATGAGTGCCTTATCAATGACGCAAAACTACCTTGGAGGCAGATAGATGACAGATACCCTTTTGGTATTCTCCCGTGAAGTTAACCTCGTTAACAACACCCCAAAATATGATTTATAATTGGAGAATTTTCAATGTGTCCTGCCATGCCAGCAGCGTCTGTTTCTGTTATTGTAGGCCTGCATAATACAGCAAGAGGTATTACTTTCGGTGCATTAATACATTAATATATATATATATATATATATATATATATATATATATATATTTTGTGTGTGTGTATGTATATATGTGTGTGTATGTATATATGTGTGTATATATATATGTGTGTGTATATGTATATATATGTTTATGTATATATATATATATGTGTGTATATGTATATATACGTATATATGTATATATATATATATATATATATGCATATGTATATATATGTATGTATGTATATATATATGTATATATGTATATGTATATATATATATGTGTGTGTATATGTACATATATATGTGTCTATTTACATGTATGTATATGTGTATATGTATATATGTATATATAATTATATGTATATAAATATATATAAATATCAATATATCCAACAACACTGAAAATAACGGAGGAAGTATACGATGTTCTATCCGACTCACCCCACAACTCCCTTGTTACTCTCCCTTCGAAAATGTCTTTTTATGTATTTATTTTAAATACCACCCGCTCCATGCACCCAACCCTTTTGGTAGTCTCTCGTGAGGTTAACCTCGCTAACAACACCCCAAAATATGATTTGCGTGGGGGGTAAATATATATATATATATATATATATATATATATATATATATATATATATGACTTTGGATTATTTACCTAACGAGTTGATGGATTTTTTTTTAATTTCATTTAGATTTTAGTTGACCGTATTTCAGTTTTATTTATTAAATAGTATATTTATTTATTTCATTGTTTTCACCTACCGTCCCGAATATTCGAGAAATCTTATTAGAGATAAAAAAAAATGCGCTCTCAGGTAGAATTCAGATTGCGTTCCCCTAAGGGAAACTTTCATTAGATCTAATGGCCTTTGACCTCCCGCCAAACAGAGCCTAAATCGCAAAACACGATTAATCAATTAGATTTAAGAACAAATGATGAACATATTTCACAATTAATGATATTGAAATAACCAATAAGTAAGGCCAATTAATAACATTAAACAATAAATCGACCAAGAATTTTCATAATACTTATAAAAAAAAAAGGCACAATAAAGAACAAACTCAAATGCCAGGTATAACGGCACAGTACTCGAAAAACTCAAAATAAATACAATGCATACTTATAGATAATCACTTCTCACTCAAAAAAAAAAGAAAAACTTCTATGAGAAAAGCCGAAAACGCCTAGAAGTTACTGGTCAAATATAATATATATATATATATATATATATATATATATATATATATATATATATATATATATATATATAATTATTTATTTAAAAATATTCCATCGCTACATAAGGTTTCTCATGTTTCATGTTTTTGAAACATGAGAACTCTTATGTAGCGTGTTGGAATCATATTTTTAAATAAATAATTATATTTATGCTCTACATTTGTATCGAGCACTATTTTTAAAAAAAAATAATAACAAAAATACTAAGGAACTTTTGGATTATT